GCTTTGCTTTGGCAGCAGCTTAAACATTTGAGTTAAATTAACACTTTGTCAGGGGCTGGGTCTGGGACCCACTGTTGTGTTTTTTGTGATTTCATTTTGGTTTATCACTGCTAGTGTTCTGGTTTCTGTTTTGTATTTCTAGCTTTCTCAGTTCTCTAACACACACAGGGTCAAAAGTATATATGCAGCCTCAAATATATACATGCAAATACTGTATACACATACACCCCAAGAAATATTTTGCTGGTTGCACCTCAACCAGAGTTTTTTTGCTATCCATCAACAAGATTTTGCCATAATTCTGGCTGAATATTTCACTGCTCTTCTTGGCAGAAGAAGAGCAGTGATTTAAATGAATCACTGCGCAATTTAAATGAACTCTTCTTTTAAAAGTTCATTTAAATTGCGCAGTCCACAAATTTTCAATAAGGTTAATCTTGAGACGTTGGCAAGGTCATTCCAGAAATCTAATGTTTCTGATTCGGATCATTGTCCTGCTGAAACAACCAACTGCGTACAGTTTTCAACCCTCTAGCTATTGGTTTGAAGTTGAAGAATTGGAAGTAGTCCTCCTTCATTACATCAACATTGTGCAATCTCCCCTTACTACTTGTTTGAACTGATGGTCTTGGAATTGTCAGTAGGTTAGAATTGGCTACAACAGACATTTCACTGAGTTCCACTGTTCTGAGTATCATACCGAGCGACTGCTGTCAAACAATCTTTTTTATGCCGCGAAGAAAACTACTAGATATTATGACCTCTCACAAGAAATTAAAAGGCCTTGCCATCTTCTAAGCATTGTATAGAACCTTGCTCTTGCTACACTACATAGGTTAGTGTATGTATATATTTGAGTCTGTAGGGATACTTTAGACCAGGGATGTTAAATTTATTTTACAATGAGGCCCACATACAGCCCACTTTAAACTTAAGTGGCCACATGAATGAAACTCCCTTTCTGTCAGTGTAAAAAACATTTAACTACACATCAATCCCTGAAATATCTTATATCTAAAATGCAGTTTCAACAGCATATCACAGCATTCCTACATGATAAATACACAAAAATGCAGAAAATGTTCTGGCAGCTCACTGTGCAGACTGTCCCAGATTTATAAAACAAAGTTTTTCTTTTTTTTTCCTGCTTATTTTTATTAAATTCACACATCTGATTACTGGCTAAAGAAAGTGTTTGTGGAAAATTCAGTCTCAGGAATTTGGTCATTTATATGCTGTCCTGTTATTTTGTATTTGTGTGTATATGCTATATATTTTATATTACACTGTATATTTATACAGGAAAACTTTGCTGTCTTGTTTTTGTTGCTCATGTTAGTTCTGTAGTCAGTGAGAGGAAAGCCAAGTTAGGACATATGAGCTGTGGGTGGGGTGGAGCAAATTTCAGTATTTAATAGCTGAAGTCAAATTAAAACAGGTGTAGTTAAGCATGGCTCTCCAACAGTTTGTCTACTGTGTCTCTGTGATGACCATTCTCTTATATAAAGGTGAGAAAGTCTGATTTTTATTTGGAGTACACATTTTCTTGTTACCAAGCTCTTACAAACTACTGTAAATTATTTTTAAAACTCTATCTGGAAACTGTGAAATGACTGGAGGTCAAGTAGAAGTACAGATACTTGTGTTAAAAAATGTACTTAGAGTAGAAAGTAGAAAGTAGCTCATTGAAAGACAATTCTACTCATTGTTTCAGGCACAGGCAACTGAACCTTCTGCTATATTAATATAATACAAAAAATATGAGTACATTAGAACATACATGTTATTCAAATCTAAACTAAAATTCTAATGAATGCACTCAGCTTGAATCGGACACAAGCAGTCGAAGAGGATAAAATAAATAAATAAATAACTATTTTCTGTTGCATACATGTTAGAGAGTCACTTTGCCTCCACACCTGGACAACGTGTAAAACAGGGGTTAAAGTGGGATTCAGCAAGCAGGGAACACTAAGATCTGTTAGGAAAAATACTAACAACTCCCTTTTTAGAGCTCCACTAGGCTTTCTTAGCACGCAAGCTGTGATCAGCTCACCTGCTGCTCTTTGTTGATTTACAGAACTGAATTTAAAAAATGTGGCAGTTTCACAGTGATCGTGGCTGGTTTCCATTTCCTACGCTAGCAGTGCACTGTATGTTGTCTTTAAACTAGACTGTATAAAGTTAGTATAATGATTCAATTCAGTGAATGACTATAAGGGTCATCAACCTAAATTTAAAGTAATCTCTGCTTCACTTGATGTGATCCAACACTGACCACTAAAGCCACAGTTCAACACAGAGTTGGGAATTCCCCATATTAATGCAAACTAACCTGTTTATCTTGGAAAGAAGTACCCAGAATTTTCATACAACATTTGAATAGCACAAAATTTGTATATTTAGTTTGTTTTAAAGAATGTTTCATAAAATTATAATATGTAATTCATCAAACACATCATATACAGAGCCAATATTTGATTAAAAATTATGACTTTATATATGATCTTTAAATAGTTCTTTATTAACTGTCACTGTAACTGAGCTACATGCTAGGTGAAGATAGAGTTACATTTGATTTTTTAATGTAATCAAAAGGAAATCAGTGAGTAGACTGTTGTGACCCACACTGCATTACTTGAAACTGATTAGTATACGGTTATTTGCTAATGTTTAGGGTTTTTTATTTGCTATTTAATTAGCAAGCCAGTAAAAATGATTTGTAATTCTTTACATTCAGATTTTTGACATAGTCAGCATCACTACAACCTGGACTGAGTTTGTCCAAAATGTTTGTTTAGCCATTTTGTAAGTTTGAAGAAAAAATCTTATACATGGGACTAGGCCCTAGTTGAACTCACATATTTGCTTTCTCTAACACACATGTTGAGAAATGTGAATCATAATGTGCAATAAACTCGTTTGACCTGTTTATCTCTATGATCCACTTTTCAGGTGGTCATTCACAGACACCCGGTAAGTATCCAAGAACAACTTTGCAAATGCTTCAAGTTCAAACAATTGACACGTGTATGTTACTTAACAAGCTAGCAAAAGAAGTACCATGGACCATTTTCTACTCTATTGCTAACAACATCAACAACAAAACTGTAGATTACAACAATATCCAACTATAGAGTTAGTATTTAGAAACATTTTCACAAGAATTGGCAGAAGATTGCCAACTATAGACTAACTTCAGCCAAGCAGATCACTGACCCATGAGACGTAGAGAGCACCAAAGAGGAAGATCAAGCAACAGCCTGAGGACATTTGAAAACCTACAAAGCAGCCAAAGTAGCTACTATGGTGTAGGAACTTATAGGATTACACATTACCATGTTAAGCATTTTATAAGACGTTTTGACCTCTAAGATTATTTTTACTACATGATTTCACAGCAAAATTAAGAAAACATTAAACATACTGTATGTTTTATTCACAATGTGTATTCTCTGTATTTTGTTTTCAGGTGTGTCCATCAGGTTAGCTGGGTCTGGAGCAACACAGTGTTCTGGCAGAGTTGAAATTTATTACAATAACATCTGGGGAACAGTCTACGGTGATGGCTGGGACTTAAACGAGGCTGAGGTTGTTTGCAGACAGTTAAACTGTGGAACAGCAATACAGGCTCCTCTATCATCTTACCGTAGTCCAGGAGCTTATCAAATTTGGCTTTATAATTTGGCCTGTTCAGGAAGTGAAAGTTCTTTAACTCAGTGTCATTACACTGGATGGGGAATGTACAATAATAATAATAATTATTATAATTATTATTATTATTATGATGCTGGTGTCATCTGTTCAGGTAAGAAAATATTTTAAATACTGAACACAGCATAGGTCACTCTATGTCATAAATGATTTATATTTTGTGAGGAAAGTATTAAAATATTTTTCATTTCAGATCTGATCAGATTAACTGGATCTGGATCGACTCGATGTTCTGGCAGAGTTGAAGTTTATCACAATAACAGCTGGGGAACAGTCTGTGATGATGGCTGGGACTTAAATGATGCTGCAGTGGTTTGCAGACAGTTAAACTGTGGGTCGGCACTGGAAGTTCCTCAATCAGCTCAGTTTGGTGCAGGAACTGGACAGATTTGTCTTGATAATGTGGGCTGTTCAGGAAATGAAAGTTCTCTAATTGAATGTAACGGCAGTGGATTTGGGACATACAGTTGTGGAAATCACCATGATGCTGATGTCATCTGTTCAGGTAAGAAAGCTTTTAGGTACCAGTGACATTTCAGGTCAGTCTGCTATTGTGTGTCATACATGAAATATTTTGTTTATGTCTTTTGCATCATAGATCGGATCAGATTAGCCGGGTCTGGATTGACTCGATGTTCTGGAAGAGTTGAAATTTATTACAATAACATCTGGGGAACAGTCTGTGATGATTACTGGGACTTAAAAGACGCTCAGGTTGTTTGCAGACAGATAAACTGTGGGACGGCACTAGAGGCTCCTCGATCAGCTCTCTTTGGTGCAGGAACTGGACAGATTTGGCTTGATAATGTGGGCTGTTCAGGAAATGAAAGTTCTCTAATTGAATGTAAATACAACCAATTTGGAACAAATAACTGTGGACATCAACAAGACGCTGGTGTCATCTGTTCAGGT